GAGGACTTCGCCTGGATGCCTCTACCCTCGACTGGAACCTTGCCAAGGCCGCATTGCAACGCCTTGATGGAAAATCTACGCTTCTACTTGCACACTACAGTACCAGCTCCGTTGACGGACGACGGGGTAGCAGTTGCCGATCTCCGCTCCTATCTTGCGAAGATCGACCGCGAGCACGCCACCCAAAGGTACGCCGAAACCGACGCACCTTTGCTCTATATCCGCATTCAAATCGGAAAGGCAACCTGTAGTGCCTTGATTGATTGCGGAGCGTCTCGCAACTTCATGAGTCAAGCGTTTATGGCTCGCACAGGTCTTGGCCCGCGCGTTCGAAGAAATACGTAACCTACGCAAGTTACACTCGCGGACGGCCGCACGCAAAAGTCAATTGACCGATGCGTTGACGGCGTTCCGGTCTACTTTGCGCTACTTGCGTGCGAGCCGGTGTCTTTTGACATCCTCGACACCAAGTTCGACATGATTCTAGGCATGTCTTGGTTGCGTAGCGCCGATCATCCGGTGAACTTCCATGACCGAACCGTTCACACCCGTGATCGGAATGGAGTGTTAGTCCCATGTACGGTCGCGACCCCTCACACTTCGATTGCTTGTCACGTGGTTTCYGTTGCGAGAATTCGCGAYGCCATTGCTCGGAATGACGTCGAGGAGATGGGCCTTGTATTCTTGCATGCTCTCCCCTCGCCGAACGGACCAGCCGCGTCACCGCCGGACCCACGCATTTCTCACCTCTTGGACGAGTATAGAGACGTTCTCGAGGCTCCCACCGGAACGGTTCCGGATCGGCCCATACGTCACGGGATCACTCTCGAGGCAGGCGCCGTCCCTCCGCGTGGATGTATCTACCGCATGAGCGAAGAGGAACTCGAAGTGCTTCGCGCACAACTCGATGACCTTCTCGACAAGGGCTGGATTCGCCCTAGTTGCTCGCCATACGGTGCACCTGTTATCCTCGTCCGGAAGAAGAACAAAGATCCACGGTTATGCATCGACTATCGGAAACTTAACGCACAAACTGTAAAGAACGCCGGCCCTCTCCCTCGGATTGATGATCTCCTTGAGCGGTTAGGCGGCGCGACGTACTTCTCGAAGTTGGATCTGAATTCAGGTTACCACCAGATTGAAATCCAGCCTCAAGACCGGTACAAGACCGCGTTCAAGACGCGGTATGGGCATTTTGAGTGGGTTGTCATGCCATTTGGCCTCACCAATGCCCCCGCAACGTTTCAAGCAGCGATGACGAATGAGTTTCGCGACTTGCTCGATCGCAGCGTCCTCATCTACCTTGATGATATCTTGGTTTATAGTAGGACGTTGGACGAGCACATCCTACACCTTCGCGTTGTTTTGAATCGTTTGCGACTAGCCAAGTACAAAGCGAATCTCGACAAGTGCGAATTCGCCAGGCAAGAGCTTGAGTACTTGGGCCATTTTGTCACGATGAAAGGCATTCGTCCCTTAGCGGACAAGATCCAAGCCATCGTGGATTGGCCGGAACCCCGTTGCACGACGGATGCACGCTCTTTCATGGGTTTGGCTGGATATTATCAGCGATTCGTCGAGTCATACTCGAAAGTGGCCGCTCCTTTRTCGAGACTTCAGTCCCCGAAGGTGCCCTTCGAGTTCGACGACGCAGCCCGTGGCGCGTTCACTACGTTGAAGGCAGCGATGCAAGCCGCACGTGCCCTCCGTATATATGACCTCACCCTACCCACCCAAGTGACTACGGACGCTTCGGGATACGGTATTGGTGCGGTGTTGGAACAGTGTCACGAGGACGGTTGGCATCCGGTTGAGTACTTTTCCCAGAAGGTGCCTCTCGTCAACACTCTTGATGACGCTAGGAAGAAAGAGCTACTCGCGTTCGTCACCGTCCTCAAACGGTGGCGCCACTTTCTTCTCGGCCGTCGGCGTTTTA